CCAGATCTTAATTTTTTTGAATTAGTTTTGCAAAAAAACTACACAGCCTGGATCATTTAAAATTCTCTTTGCAATCTTTTAGTTATCTAAATTGAACTGTTCTTAAGTACACCGTTTACTTAATACTAAGTAATTACTTAAGTACACGTAATACTAAGTACATCGTTTGCCGGTTAAAGAGAGAGAACGATTGAAATTGGAACTTGAAGTGATATAGAAGAACTTGAATCACATTTATCATGCGTCATCTTTGCATTATTCTGAAAAAACGATATTTCCCTGTTTACCAATGTTGGCTATTTTTCCCGTAATTTCTTCTGAAATAAAAACCTCTTACTAACAGATCACAAGTCACTTACTACAATAGATATTAACAATAATAGTTTTCTCCTCCAAAAATTCATTGTTAATTAGAAAAATTTTATTTGTAAGAATATTGTATTGAAAGAAATTACTGCTTTTACTTTAATCTCAATTCAGAAAGCTTTCTCGAATTTATCAGACATTTATAAAGTCTGTCGCCTAATGTGACATATAATGGGTTAACTGCCTCTAATTGAATGCATATATAAGATATAGGAAAAGTCAGATTCGCAAACGTGTGAACGATACTCGACTAATACTATGTTCACATCATCAGGATGTTTGTAGCATATTCATCAAATTTTACACAATCCACTCAAAGCTCACGAATTCCTGTGAGAAACCTCGACTAAACGACATTTTTTAAATCACTTATCGGTTACATATATTACATCTATTCATTAGTGTTGTCAAATATAACTCCATTTTATAAAATTATAAATTATCTCGTGCCATTTATCTTTCTTTTTGAAGAAATTTTCTTCTGCTTATATTTATTTGACACTAGAAATATAACTAGAATTACATTGATACGTTTTCGCAAGAATGTTATATTATCAATTTATTAGATATTTATATAATCGGACTTTGTAGAATGCTCTTTATTACATCATAAACTTTTTTCTATTTCTTTTCCTGATACGAAAAATTAATTAATATTTTTAGTATCTGGGGGTTAAAAAGTTTATTACCACGATTATAAGTGGTTCCAGTTCTATCAATTATATTATTTACGTTTGTGACATTACGACGGGCAAAAGATGAAAAAATACGACTGAAATATTCTACTATTTTATCGTGCTTTTTCAAATCAGAAAACAACAACGATCCAAAAGTGATGAATTTAATTAAAATTCATATCATCAACTACTATACCTAAAATCATTTCCTTCAGATAGTAAAACAGAATTCACACTACCATGATGAAAATGATTACACCGATGCAACGATTTCTATACACTGACATGAATATCGAAATCCTACTGAACGTATGATAAGAGCTTCGTTTCAAACTCATGCGCATTAGTGCGAACAACTAGGCGACTGATGAAGTTAACGACCTCCATTAATGGAACACATCAAACTACAAATGATGCTTTCAGACGATTCAAGAGTCATCAGACGCCAACTCAAGAATCTAACCATTAAAACTGAAGTACATGTCACGAAATTGCTTGTAGACATAAAAACAAAACATGTAATATGCTTCAACAACTAAAACTAATGAAATTAAATTAAACTCAGGTCTTACTGAAAAAGAAGCGATTCTTTCATCTGGTGCAACTAATTTGCCAGATATCTTCATTCTCTCTGGAATTAAACCAAAAGAAAAATTAAACAAACATGGTATTAAAATAATTAATGATTTACCATGTATTCATGCACTGAATTTTCACTTCTATAAGTGAAAATGACTTCAGGAATGAAGGAGAATGATATTTATTATTATGAAACCTTTATCTACAATTGTTTCTCGCAGAGTTTTCTTACAATCTTCCAACAAATATATAATATATATTCGATTAATTTAATCAAGTGGATTTTTCAAAAGTCCAGAAGACTTTTTTAATTTGAATCATTATCTTATTATAATGCTATATTAAATCAATCTTACGATCACCTAAAAGCAGAGAATTTGTATTATTAAACGAAAGTGATCTCTTGTGAGGATCTTTAATTTATCCAAGGGTATTTTACTAGTAATCCTGATTTGTCGGTGGAAGGTGTAGAAGCAGCTTTAAAACTGTTTGATATAGAATCGTTTGTGAAAAATTATTTTAGGTTGATAGATAAATTTTTATCTATTTGTAGACAATTTGAATTTGGTGGGAAATATTTTCAGAAATGTATGATGATGAAGTATACTTCGACTACTTATCGTTGTTGGGACTTGTAAGGTAGGACTAAAAGTTGAATTCTGAGGTTCTTAGAGAAGAGATTGAGATTTTACGGAGTTGATAATTTGGGGAATGTGGCTGTTTCGATTATACCGAAGATTGTTAAAGGGAATACAAATGTGCTTACTACTACGATCGCGAAGAAAGGTGAAATGGTTGTTGAGTTTGGATGATGCGATTTGATGTAGAAGTAACTGA